ACCCTGCATACAGCACGAGCCCACATTTTCCCCCTGCCCCTGCATGCACTCAGGCTGCTGCTTGCACTCGCCTCCGTCCTCTGCTTTGCTGCACACGCTGGGTTGTGCCTCACGGCGCCCAGGGCAGGAGCTGACGGCTTGCTGAGCACAGCTTCCAGCCACTTTTCTGGGAACGTCCTCCCCTCCACCCTCTTCCCCTGCTTTCTCAGCCCCGCATGGCACCAAGGAATTTGCCCTCCCTCCTCCCCACCGTCCGCGGGCTCTGGGGAGCAGCCGAGTCCCTGCAGCCCACCGCCCTGCGTGGGGGGACGTTTCTTGCATCTCAGGTGGGTTTTGCAGCCTCACGTGGCTGCATTAGCTTCTGTTGCAGGGGGTCTACACCCTCTATTGCCTGGCTGAGGTGTAGACCCCCTGCACTTGGCTCTGTGTGGGGAGCACCTTTAACATCCAGAGGCTTTACTGGGCCAGTGGGGCTGTCTCGCGAGGAGTCAGGACATGGAGGTGGCTGCTGGGCTGGGTTTCTACAGGGAGAAGTCAGGACAACTCCAGCCTCCTAGACAGCACGTCACCATCCCAGCCTCTCCCCTGGCCTCTGGAGGAGCACCACTGCCATGAGCCTACCCGGCCTTTGGGGACGGTGGCTGGGTCTTTTGCTAACCGGAAGCATCGTTTGAAGCCACTAGAGCAGGGCAAGGACCCTGTGTCCCAGCCTGTGTTGGGGGTATCATCTCAGGCTGTCTCCCCTCCAGCATGTGGGCTGGCAGAGGGTGGAGGTGATAAGGGTTTCCCGTTGGCATTCGGTCTAGCCCCACTGCCCAGGCCAGCGAGCCTGCGGTGACCGCTGCTCCGTGGATAGTTTCTCCTCCTCTCGTGTTTGGCTGCTTACCTGAGTCTCTCTTCTCTGCCTCTCTTCCCTCCTCCTGTTGCTTCTCCTTCTACCTGATTGCTTGGGGCGCAGCTTTCTCCAGACCTGAATAGGCTAAAGGAGAGATACGCCAGGACTAAGAGGGACATTCTGGCTTTAAGAGTTGGGGGGAGAGACATGCAGGAGCTGAAGCAGAAGTACGATTGTAAGGTACTGTCTCTCCTTCGGACTTATATATATATTTAAACCCTCTTCCCAACTGCACCTGGGTCTCATGCTCTCTCTGTACAGCAGTCTCTGCTCTTCTCTCTCTGCATGGGGGACTTGCTTCAAACCGCGTCTCCTACTGAACTCGTGGCCTGGGCACGCGACGCCGTTGCATCGGCGTAACCCACCTATAGTCTGGTGCAAAGGAAAAAAAACAACAGCCGAGTGGGCACACGAGGTCCAATTCTACCCCAGCGTAACTGGCTTAACTCTGATGTAGAATTACCATGGGAAAAATTGGGGTAAAACTCCACCGGGGTCAGTGTTTGGCCACAGCTTTTCCTGGGATGGTCTCTTGCTCGATGCGAGCTCTCTGCTCCCAGGCCATGCAGTGGGGAAATGCTGCAATGGTTTCTTGCTGCTTGCAGCTACCGTGGTTGCTGCTGGTCTGTCTATACTTGTGACCCTAGCCAGGACCCTGGTACATACTGGGCAGCCTGGTTTAGCTGGCCCTGTGTGTTTGATGGCGCTGCAGGCTCGCCTGGGATTGCAGCGGAGATGTCCCCACGGTGTGACCAAGTCATGGCAGCTTCACGCCTTGGTTTAATTCTGCAACAAAAAATGTGGGGACTGCTTCCCTGCCTCCCCAGAGCCTTGCTGGACCTTTGAGAGCGGCTCTGGCTCTGGAAAAGACTGTGACAGATGGCTGAGTGTCCAGGTTTGAGCCCATGGCACAGAAAAGCCCAGTAAAGCCAGGGGATCTTTTTTCCAAATCACTTGCCCTGCCCTCTTGCAGCTGGATCTGTGGGTCCCGGTGGGCCATTACTTCGCAGGCATCATTACTAATAGCAAGGCTTCAATGCTTGGGTTTCCCCCCTACGGTGGAATAGGACCTGTAGTCCCTCTCCCACCTGTGTTGCCTCCTGCAGGACTAATGGGAGGAGAGGAATAATTGGGTTTTCAGGGCTTGCTGCCACTGCCAAGCTGACTCCGGGGATGGCTGCAGTTGTGTCTGCACCCAAAGCCCCTTAGCTCATGGGTCGAGGTGCTTTTCACTCGAGCGGGCTGCCCTGTCTAGGCGGTGTAAGCTACAGCCTGAGGTAGCCCAGCTTTTCCTCTGCTAATCTTGTGTTTTGTACAACTAACACAACCGCTCCACGCAGCCTGATTAATGCATGGGCAAACTAGGCACAGGCCTAGGGCCCCAAGTGAAGAAGGAGCCCAGTTGTGATTATTTTGCATATTATAATTATGGAGTGGAGAGAGATCTCGATATCGAGATACCTCTCTACTCAATAATTATAATATACATAGAATTAAGTGTAGGGGCCCATGAAGTGGCTTGCCTAGGGCTCACCACGGCGTTAATCCAGCCCTGCATGCAGCTCATGCATTTTTCTGCAGCCTGGCCCCTCTCACTCCAGCTAGGTTAGTTCCAGCCCCGCTCATTTGGTTGCGCAGGGAAAATGGGGCCAAAGTGACTGGATGCAACTGTGATACTTGGAGCCATTTGCACGTGGTCCATTTTCAGACCTGCCTGCAATGATCTGAGCAGGAGGTCCCCGAAGAAGTAAATGGAGCATCTTGGAGGTTGCTCTATGGGAAATGGGGGTGATTTCTCCATGGTCGCTATTGTCAGAACACGCAAAATATTATCAGTCGCACTTCATGCTAGGGCTTTGTTTGTAAAGGGTTACTCAATGGGTATTCGTTATGCCTCCTTCTCCTGCACTAACACCTGCTACTTGTGTCTGCAAGATGCTTCGCAGTGGAGCTGGGTGAGCTTTTTGTTTTGGGAGTGCTTGATCTATAGCAAAAGCAGTTGCAAAGAGAGCGAGATGGTTCACAGGTTTGGGTTGCACTTGGTGACTAGTTTTGGCTGGAAAAAAAAAAAGAAAACAGTGAGGGGAAGAGTTCAGAAAAGTCAAAATTGGATAAAATGGTTTTTAAAAAACAGAGAGAGAAGGGTGGAGAGAGAGAGTATTGATGACCTGAAAACAACACCCGTTCACTTGCATTGACCCAAACTTGATTTTTTTTTTCTCTTCCCTTTTACTTTGGCTGCTAAACTGAAAGCTCAATTATTCACACCACTCTACTTGGAAGGTTTCATTAATCACTTAGTGAGCCCCTAATGGGCCATTTATCAATCCAGCTTGGGTGTGAAGTGTGATGGTATTGGTATCTGAGCTGTTGCTCAAGACTCCACATCAATATGCTAGTCTATCAGCCCCTCATCAGAGCTCTGTATCCTTGCTCTGGACTCCACCTTTCATCCCTGGTGTTTAGGATGCTGCCTAAAATATTACGGGGGGTGGATAACAGTTGGGTATCTCACACCTCCCTTTGGCCTGTGTCCACCTCTGCAATTTCTAAGCTCTCCAAGTTGGCCCAAACCGTCATCCGTGCTGCAATACCTTTCCTCCACGGATGTTATTTGGGGAAGCATCTCAGAACAGAGCCGTTCTCGCCCCTAGCAAAGTCTCAGTGTTGTCGTGGGAAGATGACGCCAGTCTCTGCACGGAGATGTGGGTTTGAACCCTGCTGTCTATGCTGTGACATTGCAATCCCAAGGGTGCTTGCGAGAGTCTGAATTTCATTGTTTTTGCGTTAGAAAAGCTCCCCCCTCCCCGCCATGCTCGTTGCATGTCCAGCAGTGGCTATTCCGAATGCCTCTGGATGTCCCTTATCCCCTTGCAGTCCCCTTCCCCTGCTTGACCCTGTTCTCCCTTCTGTCCCTGGCTGTTTGCAAATGGGCATTTTGCACAGGCTGCTGCTGGGTTTTTCACATGTGAATGCAAGTCTCCTCTGAGTGCAAATAGCAGGTCCCCATGAGGCCTCCCTTCAGCCGGCCATGAGCATCCCCCCTCATTTCCCATAGCATCCACACTGCATCTGGTGCACAAGCCAGGCTTGCACATGCTGGGGGACAGGCTCTTTGCTCTACTTCTTTCCCTTTGTCTTGCACAGCTGGCCTCCATGCCGCTTGCAGGAGCACCCAGAAAGCCACCTTCCCTGCAGCCCCATGTGCCCAGGTGTGGTTATAGGCACAGCAGTTGTGCATGATATTACACTAGCCACAGCTGGCAGGGGGTTGTTTGGACACGGTTGCCACATGCCACCTCTTGGAGCAGCCTCCAGATGAGTGCTAGGCAGCTGTTGCACCTGCTTCCCAATGGATTTGCTTGTTTTCCCTACCCTAAATGAAGAATGCTGGCCCTTTTAAGATGTTGGCTGGATGGAAGTGGGGGTTGTCTACCAAAGTAGGAAGGAGGCCTTGAATGGGACACTGCCAAGTAAATGCATCCTGCTCCCTAAAGGTCCATTGCCGAAGCTTTGCTGATGCTGGTCCCACGCAAGAGACAGGAAAGAAACTGGGGTGCTTTTGTTCTCTGTCCCAGTTGGGAATGCTGGAGTGAAAGGTGCAGGCAGGTCGTGATGTGGAGTATTTTGTCTGGTCCACGTCCGGCCTGGGTTGGTAGGGACCAGAAGGTGCCATGATTTGAGGGCGATTTGGCGGTGCACCTGGAAGGAGCTCCTAGGTCTTAGTCCAGGTCTTTGAGGACAAGGTTGGTCTCGTCAGACAAACCACCCTTGAAGCTGGCCGAGTGAGACCGTGGCCTGTTGTGGAGCGTGCGAGGTTGTGCAGGGCCAAGGGTTGAGGTGCTGTTGGCCTGCCCTGGCTCTCATGGACGCCAGCGGGAGTTCTGCTCTGGACTTTGGTGGCAGCAGAGTTGGCCAAGGTGAGTGATGACAAAAAGAGGGGAAAACAAATCCTTTTCACTTTAAAAATAAATGGAAACCATGGAGCATCTGCCTCCTAGAGGGGAGCCACAGATGAGAGCCTCCCTACATGTATAGAGCATGTTTTATATGAAACCCCTCGTCCAAAAGCATTGCGAGTAGCTAGGTGTTTGTTCCAGAGAGACTGTGAGTCAATAGGTCACTCTTACACCTGCCTTCAGTTGTTTTGCACTACTCATGTCCATCCCATCACATAGCAGCTCTTAATTAACCCCTTCATAAATAGCTCCTTGATGTAAAGTGTAACTTGATTTTAAAAAAATAATACAACACTCTTGAAAGCCGTGAGCAGACCCAGTTCCTTTGTGTCTAGATCTTGGTCGTTTTTGTTTAAAACCGAACTTTAGGTGCTGAACTGAAACACCTTTTCTTCCTCCGAGCATCCTCTGTGCAGCCACCCAAAGCATGTTTGTGTGTGTATACGTTGGAGGGGGGACAGCATCCCAGTGCAGAGGCAGGGCCCGTGCCAGAGGATTGAGAAAGATCGTTTGCAGCTTCATTGATCTGCTGTGTTTCTCCCTCCCGGTCCCGCTCAGATGACTCAGCTGATGAAAGCTGCACGCAGTGGCACCAAGGACGGCCTGGAGAAGACCAAGATCGCGGTCATGCGGAAGGTGACTTTCCTGCATCGGAAGGAGGCGCCAGGTAACTGTTGCGAGGCCCATCCCTTTACAGGGAGAAGTTGCTTTGCACCAGGAGAGAGCCCGCTATCTTCTTTTATTCCTAGAAAGAAAGCCTGGTGCCAGGCCACACCGATGAGTTCATTGCCACTAGATACTTGTATCCCCCTTGATGCATTTTTTCTGTTTCCTCTTGCACTTTTCTGCAAACTAAACTGCTCGGCTTCGATTTTTCTCATTGTCTAGGATAGCATTTCCTAAAAGGCTTTTAATTTTTGAAAGGTGGGATTTGGATTCCTGTGAAAAGTTTGACCTCAACCACAGGAGGAGATCACCCGCGTTGGGTTTCGGCAGTGCGAGGGGGAAAGGTTATGTGTCGCACAGGTGGCTTTTAAAGGGTGCCAGCTTCCTTTTCCTCCAAGCCCCAGGATCCTTTTTTTCATGCTGCTCCTCCAAACCACACTAACTCTCAGACACTCAATACTGGATTTCCAAACGCACCCACCTTTTGGGATCCGGTCATCAAGGGCACTCTGTTCGCTGCAAAGCACCAAGCTTCAAACGATTGATTGTAGCACGCTGGCTGTTGCGCTCTCTTGAAACTTCGGTAATAGGCGTCCAGTCGCTTCAAGACTGGATTCCAATTCTGGATGCTGAACACTTGAAAACCTGCCTTGGTGGTTGGTAATCTTTATCTTCCTGGAGGCAGCAGAATTGGGGAAAACGAAACCTGGCATTTTTGGCCTCTGACCTATCTGCCACGGGCTCTCGCTGTCTATTCCTCTCTCTTTTTTAGATGAATTCATGTTCCTCTTTTTGCACAGTGCGTTGCTTAGATTGCTGTTTCTGAGCTGTAAAAATATGTTGGGGCAAAACTTCTGCTGGCGCAACACCGTTGACTTGGCTGGAGCTAGCGCTGGCCGGGCATTTGGCCCTCGGTGACTAAATCTGGGTTTTCCCCCTTCTGCCATCTGGGTTGGTCTGTTTACAATCCTCTGAATTGCTGCTGCATTTCCGTGGGGATGATTGGGGGGCAGAGCACGTGGCTTCTTGTGGTCATCTCGGGGCAGAGGAACTGGTTCGGAGCTGGGCGAGGGAGCTGTCATCTCTCCAGTAATGGGAAGGAAATGCAGAAGGCTGGAGGGAGGTGCGGTGCTGGGTCCAGGAGAGGGCAGTGCAGGAGTGCGTGCCACCAAGAACTGCCTCTGGCAGGAAAACGCGGTTCGGAGCAATGGAGCTGTTTGCTTCTTCCATGAGAGGGGCTGTGCACATAGGGGGTTGCATCTGGCCTGGCCTGAAGGCTTGATCCCCACACTTCTGCTCTCCCTACCTTGCCTTGATGGCACTATTTAATCTCCATTGATGCCTGCCTGCCTTCTACCACCTGCCCCTTGGCTGTAAGCATGTGCACGCCCCATATGGAGACGGAAGGATTCAACAGCTGAAGCTGGAGCCAGGCTTGTCGGAGGGTTTGGAAAGGATGCCACCGAAACCCTCGGGGAGTTGGCATGGGTGAGATCTGGTACTGAATTCGGACCATGCAGCAAATGGCAGAAGGTCTCCAAAGGCAGCTTCCCCCAGGTCCCAGCATGGCAGCTCTCAAACCCTTTGTGCAACCCAGAGATGGGAAAGGGAGAGTGTTCGCCCAGCATTCGCCCTCTTGCAGCCCTCCCCTTCAGTAGCATCCTTGCAATGCAGGGGAAGAAGGGCAGTGCTGTGTGACCAGCTCCGAGCTGGGACCTTTGTCCTGGGGTTGCTGCAGGCTGTGGAGAGTGTCCCCAAGGGCCTTGAGGGAGGTATCTGGTGACCTGTCTGGGTGTTCGTACCTTTGCACAGAGGGGCTGAGATGGAGGCAGCAGAGGGATTTTAGCACCCTGATTCTCATGGAAATGAAGCCCCTTCCGCTTTGCAAATCCCAGCCGGGGGCTGCAGAGATGGGGAGTCCAGCATGCAAACAGCACGGAGGCAGCAGGGTCCTTCCACCGCCATAGTGCATTGCTTTTTAGATATGATTTTCCCTTCAGGGAGCTGTTCTGTGTTGGCTGGTCCAGTCCGCTTGTGTGTACGCCGTGCTTTACAAACCTAGGTGAGACATGTCGCTCAAAGAATGTAGTTTAAATAAGGAAACAAAGGGAGAAAAATCCCCCCAGCATACCACGCGTTGACGTTTCCGTAGAGGGGACGTGCAAGGATTGCAGAGAAAGGACCAAGGCAGGGGACCAGCAGAGCCAGGCTGGATGCTGCCCGCTACTGGTTCGGGTGTAGGGGTGAGGAGTGTGGGAGGAGGGCAGCAGAGATGGAGAAAGTGCAAACCCCTCCGTGCATTTCAAAGGGACTTCCAAAACGAGGCAGGATTTTGGCCCCATGCATGCCCTGGACTCCGTCTTGGGGTATGCCTGGCATGATGAGCTGTGTGTTGGCAGAGATCTGGGGTGAAAAGGGGGGGGCAGCCTCCTAGGTTAGGGCTGTGCCTGGTATTCAGTGCTCCATATCCAAGCTCTTCTCCATCTCCCAGGTGGATTACCTAGTGGTTAGAGCAGAGGGCTGGGAGTCCAGGTTGCTGGCTTCTAGCCCTGGGCTCATTGTGTGAGCTTCGAAGCAAGAGAAAGTGCAGGGTCTTTATAAGGGACCGGTTGAACAGCAAGGGGTGTCCAAGGGCTAAAGCAAAGGAGAAGGAGCCCGGAGAGCATTTAGGGTGACCTTTTTCCAGGCCAAGAAATGCCCTGGATGGCAAATCTACTTGGGGTAGCACCTGGTTTGCTTCTGCCACCCCTGCCCGGGGGGCCATCTCCTTGCTGCTGGAGGACTCGGGGTCTGGTCCAGCGTTGTCAGGCTGCAGGGTCCGGACCCGAGGGGTTGCCACGCGCGTGGGGAGCACAGCATCGCACCGCTGATAGGGGCTGGGTCTTAAGGCACCGTATCTCTGGGGCCATCAGGACCCAGGTCTGTTCCCGGTCTGCCCCTAGCAGGGATGGAAACTCTGGGCAGCCGGTGTGTTGGAGCAGGGAGCCGGTGAGCTGAGCCTCCCTTCCAAAATTAGGGAAGGAAAAAGGTCACTCATCCGTTTTGGAGCCAAGCAGCTGGTGTATTCCTTGCAGCCCTCTCATCTCCCTGGTTACTAAACCCCCTCCGCCTCCCCTGCCCGCGGCTGCCCAGCGCGTTCCTCCGTGGAGTGACCCTTCCTCCTCCCGGGGTTTCTATTAATAGGCAGTGCGTATACCTCGAACCAAAATGGGAACTGGGTTGGGGGGAAGAGGAAGTCGACAGACAGGCAGCGTTCGAGGGGGAATGCAGAGGGCATAATGTGGAAGAAACGGCACCCCATCGAAAATGGCTCGATTCTGGCCCGCTCCTCTTCCTCCTCCTCCTCTGTCTCGGTCTCAGGTAAGGGGAGGTCCGCGGGCTCGAGCTTCCCCTTCGCTCGGTGTGACCGCCGCCTCGCTTCTGCGGCTCTGCTCCCTGCGCTCGCTCGCTCTCTGCCTTGCGGTTTCTCTCTGCACGGGGCTATTTTTCCCTCTCGAGGTTGATTTCTCAAGGCTGGGGCAGCTCCCGCTCAGCCCCTCGTGGGGTCCGGACCTGCCTCGCTGTTTGAAACGGATTGCAATCTGCGGGGAATCCAGGTGCCTGCTTTTAAGGGCTCGGCCTGGTGTCTTTGCCCGGTGATTGTGGCAGTGTGGGGCGCAGGGGTGTCGTGTCCCCCACAGAGCCCAGGCTGGCCAGGCACCCCCCAAAGGGGACTCGTTCCAGCCTGAGCTCTCTGGTTCTCCCAAGCTCTCAAATTCCTTGGGCTGGCTCACGCAGCCCGGTGGTGTCTGGTGTCGGTGTTTGGGGTCTCCCAGAAGACCTGGTTTGCACTGGCCAGTCTTGTAATGCGCCCCTGCCCTACCAACAGCGCCGGCAGGGACTAGACCCTGCCCGTGCAAGCTGCCCCATGGCAGTGCCGTTGCGGCTGCGCTCGAGCTTTCGGAGGGAGGGCGGACGCCCCAGGCAGATGGGGAGGGTGCGGAGCGCCCTGACCGGCCCTGGTGCTGATGGAGATCAGGCTTCAACCCCCCTGGTGCTCCTGTCTCCCATGGAAAGTCTTCATCATGCAGCCAGGAGGGGTGCGTACCGCCCGAGTCGTGCCTGGAGATGGTCCTGGGGGCAGCCCCCGAGGCTTTGCTCTGAATCGTAGGTGGTGGTGGGCAGCACAGGGCTGATGCGGAGCCCAGGGAGGAGGATCTTCCCTCTCCTCACCTGCCTTTAAACCATACGCTGGATCCAGCCCCGTAGCAGACGTCGGCCTTTCGGCCGGCCCGTGATGCTGTGCTAGCAGCGGTGCTCACGGCTCGCGTGTTCCCGTTCCAGGTGACTCGGAGGAGGAGGACACGGGGTTCCTGGAGGTCACCGTCACCGACATGAGACACCCGCCTCCGGAGCTGGGTCCCATGCCCGAAGGACTAAGCCCTCAGCAGGTCTGTGCAGGGATGGAGGAGCCGGATGCTGGCAGTGTTGCTCCCCCTGGATGCAGGGGTGATGTGGGGAGGGACAAGGGAAACCTTTGATGCTTTGAGGTTTTTGGGGAGGGCGGGGGCAGTGTTGTATTTTGGGGGCTTGGGTAGAGCTAGGCAGAGGTCTCCTGTGTGGCGGGATGACCTGCCCCACTGTCTCAGCTCATGAAGCATCTTGTAGTGGGGGGAGCAGGGGGTGTGGAGAGCTAGCACCAGCACGTTGTTAGATCTCATAGCACGCGGTGCAGCACGTCCCGGCGGGGGTGTTGCTGGAGAGCAAGTCTGCATCCAATGGGAGCCTTGAGGACCAGTGCCCAAGCTTTCCAACAGGCTGGGGCCTGGGGATTTGGTTGGATCTGGAGTAATACCCCCTTGTCTCGCTCCCTGCTTGGGGTTTGCATGTAGTTTCCCTGGCATGGGTGCATTGAGTAATCGCTTGATCTCACCTCCTCCGCCCTGTCGGTCGGAAAGGACAAGTCAGCAGAAATGTTTTGCTTCTTTTGGGTCCTGCCACTGGGCATCAAGATGAGTCAGAACAAGCTCTGCATCGCTGCACAGATTGACAGCCCCTTGCTTTGTCCTTTTCTTCCCTTTTTCTCGTGTCGCCCGACTCCCCGCCGGCCTCAGTAGTCTGGAAAATGGGTGCATGGGAAAGCACACACAGGTTCTGAGCGGGATGGGGCTGCTGGTGGGAGCGGCGTGCAGGCTTTTGACGTCTGCCCCAATCTGGGTGTTGCAGGTGGTTCGGCGCCACATCCTGGGCTCCATCGTGCAGAGCGAGGGGAGCTACGTGGACTCGCTGCGACGGATCCTCCAGGTGACCATGTTTACCGAGGCGGGCGGATGCGGCCGAGCCCCGTGCTGGGGGAGGGCGGGATGGAAGGGGCAAGCCCCCCTCCCGCTGAGGGGCTGGGGAGGGGGAGGAAATGGTGCTCGGGGTCCGTGCTCCCATTCCAGACCGAGCTGTGTTCCCACTCCCACTGCTTGCAAAGGGGGGCTTTGCAGTTGGACCGGAGTGGGAGCCACGCAGTGACATGTTGCCTGCGTCTCCAGATGCTCTGGCCTGCCTCCATTTGTCTGGTGCGGCTGGTAACGCAGAAGGCCAACGGTAACTTCAGCAGCAGTGTCTTCAGTAAATGTGTTTCTCCTCCAGCCTCCTATTGCTGCTCTAATCAAGTATCTGCTTTGCTGCCTTTGGGCCCCTGAGAAGGGCCAAGCTGTGCAAACAAATGCAAAAAAAAAAAGAAAAAAAGATGGTCCCTGTCCCTGTTGTCTCTTGTCTCTGTATAAGGAGACAACAGATGGGGGTGACATGGGAGCACAAGGAAGCAATGAGCATTATTGGCTGGTGTGGTGGGCTGTGGGTTTGGTGCAACGAATTGTTTTCCAAGCTTTATAGAGAAGGAGAGTTTCACAGAGGGAGGTTTGGAGTAAAATAATAGGAAAACAGGGTGGGAAGGGCTCTTGGGAGGTCTAGTCCAGCCCTCTGCTCAAGGCAGGATCGTCCCTGATTACACCATCCTAGCCGAGTCTTTGTCCAACTCACTCTTAGATGCTTTCAAGGATGGAAACTGCACCCCTCTCTAGCACTTAGCCACCCTCCTGATTGGAAAACTTTTTCCGATATCCAGCCTAAATCTCTTTGTTGCAGTATAAGACCTTGCATCCTTGTCCTGTCCCCTGCGGCCAGGAGACTAGTTTATCACTGTCTATTTATAACCGCCCAGCATGTATTTTGAAATCTGTTATCGAGTCCTCTCCTTACCCCTCCAGTCTTGTCTTCTCCTGACCAAATCGTCTGGAAATGTCCAGAGTTATTGGGAGGTTGGGAGTTATTGGTGGAGGGAAGGTGTGGGGGGTATCGTGGAAGAATCTGTTTTATTTGCTTTGGGGATAATGAAGCCAATTCACTTAGTATGGCAGGGCTGGTTGGTCCCAGGAAGGCTTGGGGCTTGTCATGGGTGCTGTGAAACGGTCTTAATAAAATCCATCTAAGTTTGGGAGAAGGATCACAGCAGAACTTTTGCATTTGACTGATGTGGAGCAGAAATATGTAGTCCAGGCCAAGACGGTGCAAAGACCTGCAGGGCTAGGCACCCTCCACACTGATGAGCC